CCTAGGTGGATTAGTTTAATCACTTCAAATGTTCCCCAATGAGACGTAAGCCCTAGCGGCAAGGTATTATGTAAGAAGTTTCAGTTATAAGTGGTAGATTGTAGATTGATATTGAGGTGAATCAGCAATGGATAGATAAAGGTTACAAAATAGGAAATGAGGTTAGGCCATCATTCTTAAGATGAACAGTAATGAGGAAGCATTAAAGGACTTAGACTTATGCATATAAGATAAATAACGAGAGTAAGCTGGAATTTGGTAGCAGACCTCAGCAACGATAAATCGAAGTAAAAGTTACGGTATAGTATGACCTATCTTGATGCAGTAAAGTCATATGGATGGATAAATGGACCTATGAAATAATATATAGCAATATTCGTAAGTTTAAAAAAAATATCGAGCAAAGAACATCATGTATACCTATAGATGCCCAGATGGACATCTTGTCAAGCACTGTATATGTTTACGAAATAAGTCCTAGAGATTGGCTAAAAGCTGTAGGAAAAAGGAGAGAAGAGTCGCATAGGTGCACTCACAAGTCAGAGTTGTACATGCTGCATAATAAAAGGAAGCAATAGTTACAAGATTGGAAATAATTCTGACCACCAGTCGTGGTGTGAAAAAGAGGCTTAAAGGTTGGAATGCTAAAAGAACAGTTGCCAAGATGGCAAGGAGAGAACTAAATTATTCGGAAGACATAAGTCATGAAAATGATAAGTGATGTCAACATTCGAGGACGAATTTTTCAAAGGGAAGAATGATGTTACACCCCATGTTTTCATACGTAGAAGTACGCCATAAGTAAATTGGTATAAGCTCGAAAATGAGATGTTACATCCCACATTTTCGTATGTTAAAGTTTTGTCTTAAGTTAATCGACGTAAGTTCGGGAATGGGATTATTTTAAGATTATAAGCATTATGAAATTTCAAACAAGTGAAGAGTAAATCCGTGAAGGTGAGAGGGTAAGCAAATCGAAGAAAATAAATTTCGTTGAAGTTTGAAATGTTGAGATAAAATACGGCCCGAGCTAAAATATCCTATATTTATGGGCTAGTGCCATACAAGGTATCACATGACCATGATAGAAATGTGTATAAGGTGTGTTAAAAGTGAGTAGTATTTTAAGTAATTTGAGATAATTCTTAATTATGTGGATAATTGGGTAATTATTGGTTAATGGAGGATTAATAATGAACTAAGATGTTGGTGATTGATTGGTTGAGAATGGATAAGCTAAAAGGTGGCAGCAATAGAGGTCTTGAATACATGACTCATTAATCACATGCCAAGGCTGCTTATTTATGAAAATTATGGGACTTAGTCATCAAAGATGTGGGGACCACAACCCCTTAGTAAAGACATTTCAAAGAATTAAGAAAAGGATGTTTGAATGAAGAACTCAAGGGCCACTGTTGGAGTAGCTCACAACTTTGAGAAATTTCATAAGTCTTCTCCAACTCAAAGTAACATGAGGAATATTTTATAACTTCTTCAACCAATTCATACCATGATTCTAACATTATAAAAGTGAATCCAACGAGATTCCAACGAAATTTCTTAGCACCTTAGCAACATGAGATTTTGCAATTAAGGAAGTACAGTGCAATCTTTCTCAAGAATATCATACGGATTTCCCCCTACTTTGATCTGTCGTTACGTGTTTCATCGCAATTGATGTATATTAGAGGGATTGTCAAGAAAATTGACTCAGGTATGCTAAGGCTATCCCTTCTTTCTTTTTGGCATGATCCGAATAATACAAATGAAACGAGCAAAATACACAACTTTCATAAATGATTCTATTCATAAAAATACTAGAGGTGTCTATATTCTTGATTCTCATGTGAATTATTATTATACCTTCTGTTCATGGGACATAGAAAAATGTGTATTTGATAAAGTTTATCCGAAAGGCATATTGATTTTTATGGCATTCCCAGAAAATCTTATTAAGGTATTTCTTATGCGTTTCATGCATTTATACATGTACATTGACCCATGACCAGATGGTGTTATATATGCGTATATATGTATATGGGATATGGGAAAAAGTTACGGCTTTATATATGCACCACCACCTGATCAGCTGGTATACGTTGATGATTTTGCCTACAGTAGACGAGATGATATGATAGGATACCCTCAGAGGCTTGATGATATTATAAACACATGTACTTATGCACGACATGATATTCATACGCATATGCATGACACTATAAGTATTTCATGATATACAAAATTGTCCATACTTACAGGTTGGGTCATGTACTCTATATTTCTTCCTTGTCTTTTACATACATATGTATGTGCCTTACATACTCGGTACATTATTCGTACCGACATCCCTTTTGCCTGGAGACACTGGGTTTCATGTCCTCTAAGTAGGCTATCAGCTCAGCAGAAGATGTTGGTGCGCTCCATTTGCTCCGGAGTTGCTTGTCTGGTCAGTATGATTTAGACCCTTATATTTTGGTATGGCGGGGCCCTATCCCGAACTTTATTAAGTATGTAATATTAGAGGCTTGTTGACAGATGTCATGTATACGAATGCTTGTATGGCCTTGCCGGCCTATATTTTGAGTTTACAAATGAACATGTTGGCCTTATAGGCCCGTATGTCACAAGTATAATTTTTTTATATATATATCAGGTTGGATCATCATATATTGAGTATTCCCCTATGTTTATTTTGGTTAGCCCATGATAGACCGTTTGACCCATTTACCAATTAAAGTATAATAAGAAAGATATGTTATGTTGGTACTTGGTTAAGTAATGTATCGGGTGCTCGTTGCGGCCCATAGGTTGGGTCGTGACACTTTTGTTGACTTTTTAGAAGTTGTATAAGGATCACAACTTTATTGATTGAAATTATTTTCTCTTGCATTGTGTGATGTATTTAAGTCATCATTGGCTAGATTGAGCCGAGCGGAGGTGAATTTGTAAAGGAAAAAGCTAAATTAAGTATTGAGTTAGCCGAATTGAGGTATGAGTCTTACCTAACTTTGTTAAGGGAATTTTTCCTACTATTTTACATTGTTTTCTATATGCGGGGGTGATACATATATGAGGTGACGAGCATATATGCATGTGCTAGGGTTAACCATGCTCGGGGGTAAATTATGTTATAAATTTTGTCTCGTAGAATTACGTGACCTTCTTGCTTCATGCCTTACTTGACTCCTAGATACTAATAACATAGTATTAAATGTTAGAAACCAAGACTTTGCTTATTATAACTTGATCAAATTTGATGGAATTCTAAGAATACATTGATGTGTCTATTTCGGTCATCACTATCTTAATCATTAATACATTGCTACGGTCGATATTCTTGAGATACTAGATTTTATACTCGTGTTGTAGATCATTCGTGAGATTTGTTGAAATACTTCAATAATAAGGTTCTTGCGGATTTATTGAACTATTGTTTGTTTTTAAAGTTGTGATTGGGATTCAATTGGAATATTCGTTTAAATACTCTCCTTGATGTTATCTATGCTTCCTACCATGTTTTCCATTGATATACATATGCTTGGTAAGGAAGAGTTTAAAGCACGAAGGGTGATGCCGTGCCATGTTATGTGAGTGTAAACCACAAAGGGTGATCTCGTGCCATATCATTGAGTGTAATGCACGAAGGGTGATGTTGTGCTATGCTATGAGAGTGTAAAGCACGAAGGGTGATGCCGTGCCATATCATTGAGAGTAAAATCACGAAGGGTGATGTCGTGTCATTCATTTGAGAGTAAAAGCACGAAGGGTGATGCCGTGCCATATCATTGAGAGTAAAATCACGAAGGGTGATGTCGTGTCATTCATTTGAGAGTAAAAGCACGAAGGGTGATGACATGCCTTTCATTTAAGAGTAAAAGCACGAAGGGTGAACCCGTGCTATTTCATTTATATTGTCAAGCTTTTATATTATCGTGAGTTCATGGCACAATGGGTATTTCCATGCAGACGAGGATGAGGGACATACATTACGTTGTGATATATGTTCCCCGTGTATACGTTCATACCTTTACCTTGAGTTGTTATTATCGTACTTATAGATCTCGTGTGACTTGTTGTTATTGTCATGTCCGTGATCTGTATCTCAACTGTTGTTGTGTTGATCATACGTTCTACTTACTTAACTTGCAAATAACATGCCTACTATTGTTGTTATAATTACATCCATGTCGTATCTATTCTGTTACGCTTTAGTACAAGCCTTTTTCCATGTTAGTCATTCATGCCTCTACTTTTTAACTTGTAAAGATCATGTGTTTCCTTCTTATATGTTATACCTATATCTAGGCCTCCACCATGCTAGTTAGTTGAAGTTAATAGTCAGTGTCTTCCAATTGCTGTCATTACTCATATGTCTTCTGCCTAGTCTATTATTGTTTTCCACATGTATGTCCTTGTTCATTATGGGTGCTTGAGTATTTCCTACTTTGTAATCCCTGTTATTGGTATTTCTGTCATTCGATTGGTACTGTTATACGTATTTTGGTCAAGATGAGATAAAAGAACGAAGGGTATTGTAGACATATAATTTTTTATCCTCCCCAAGATTTTACACATTTTAGCATTTAAATATTTAGTTTAGGTCTAATATCGATAGTTTAACTCGATTTGACTCTTTTACTTTATTTTTATCACACTATTCTACTAGGATTCTAATTTTTATATAATCTTGAAAAAATACCAAAATAGTTTCACAATATAATATTGTTTGTTTTAATTAATTAGAATTAGTTTTATATTCTTATATTATAAATTTTATATTATTTTTAGAAGGAAGAGTGATTTTTTGGTTGGTGTATCCATTTTTAATGAGAGAGATCCATTTTTAATCTTTAAGCCCAATTTTGAAGCCCAACAAGACCTAACCCACTACTCCCTTCTTCTTTAACCCTTACATCCTAACCTTTCTTCATCATCTACACACTACCAAAACCCTAGAACCCTAGACAAAAATCCAGCCATCATCCTCAACAGACCTAAGACTCCCCACCGACGTTCCCTCTTCTTCATCTTATGAAGGAACCCCCAGCCGTGGATTCTTCTTCTTCTTCTAACCCTTTAACACCCCTAAAAAACCCTAGAAAGCCATAAGTCATGGACCCTTAGGAACGACCCCTCCATCTCCCACGCCGTTCAACTTGAACCTTCCCTAGCACCAACCTGCCGCCATCAACAAGAACACCAGCAGCTGCCATCAATCTTCTCAAACCCGCCGGAAATCCGCCGGTGAACACCCACAACAACCAGCTACCTGNACCCAGATCTGAAATAAATAAATATATATATATATATATATATATAAGAGCTTATGTTTTTTTCATTTTTTAATTCGGTTTTGGTATAAAAAATCATGGTATTTGCTTGAGGTTTGGAAGTTTATTGATTTTGATTGCCGGTTTGAGGTTCGTTGCGGTCAAATTTGAGTTTGTCGAATTTCAGTTCGTTGGTTTTATTGCTGATTTTCTGATTGTGGTCCAAAATTAGATCTGAATTTCAGTTCGTTGCTGATTTGAGTTTGTCGATTGATCTTATCCCGTTTCTCTTATTTCTTTCTATCATGTGCTTGATTTTAGATAATGACACTTTGTTGCGTATTTGACATGTTGTTTGTTTGCTGATGTTTAGTTACTGAAGTATATCTTTGAAGTTATTCTAGATGATATTTTAAGTTTAATTGGATGATTTGAGTTTGTATTGTTAAAGCTTAAACAAAGATTAATCTAGGAAATGAAAGTTGTTGTTCATGGGCTGATTTGACAAATTGGGCAGTGGAGTTGGGTATTAAAATAAAAGATGATTTGAGTTTAAAATTTTATTATTTTTCTTTCATTAATTGTACGGTAGGAGCATGTTTAGGCCAATCACACATGGGCAGGCAAATTTTAGGATTTGGTTAGTTTTGAGGTGAGAGATCGTTCCTTTAGTTAAATGCATCCGGGGAATGCCCCGAAGGATTTCTATATATTTTATTCCGGGGAATGCCTCGTAGTACTCTGTAATTGGAGGCCAAAAGTAGGACTTTTATTGTTCTATTCTTGTTTTATTTTTCTTTATTAGGTCGAGACGACATCAAACCTCGAGTGTGTTTATTTTCTTTTCTGTGTTTTCCCTCAATTAGAATATTTTAAAAAGTCAACTAGATCAAGTATGCAACCGTACTAGTTACGGGACTTGGGGAGTTCCTAATACTTTCTCCTCGAGTCAAATGAACCCCATTACCCAAATCTCTGGTGTAGACATAGTTTTTGAGTCCAAAGTATTTTAAAAGGAAAATCATTTATAAAAAAACAAATTGGTGACCTGGCACACCGAAACCAATGTCAGGTGGCGACTCTAAAAAATTCTTTTGAACAAAATTTTGTCACTTTCAAATTGAAAACCCTTTTGAGCTTTACAAATCCTTTTATTATTTATAAAAGGGTTAAGCGAGGTTAAAAGAAAAGGGGTGTGACAGCTCCGATGACTCTACTGGGGAGTTGCAGGTTCGACCTGATACTTGATCTTGTTGGCTTTTAGGATATTTGGTTGAGGTGTTTGTTTTCTTTATTTGCTTTGTTTGTCTTATTTCCTGTTTTTTGGGTTATTTGTTTATCGCTTTTCCTCATGTGTTACTGATTTATAAATTGTCATCATTTGCATAACCATGGTCTTCTTTCTGCAACAAGTCTTCCGGGGTACGTTTGAGCGCACATGGCCTTTTTGTGAGTCACCTGTGTCTTTAGGGGGTGGTGTGGGAACGTGGAGTAGGCGGACAGTTTGAGCGTACATGGCCTTTTTGTGAGTCACCTGTGCCTTTAGGGGGTGGTGTGGGAGCATGGACTAGGCGGACAACTAGAGCAGCCACCATCGACCACGTGCCGCTCCGAATTGCCTTGTCTAGTGAACCCTAAACTTAGGTCAGCCTTTAGGTCATGGTTATTTGCATCATATCATTTAGACATAGTAGGGCTCGGTCCAGGTACCGTGTCCCCTTTTATGAGGCCTTATCCAAATTACGTCAAAACAGGCTCATGGCCCAAAAGACATTTAATCATTCCTATGTGCTAAATGATGCATTCTTTAAGGGTAAAGAGGTTATTTGGAAGACCAATGATGGTTGAGGGTACAAAGATGAAGCAAGTAGGGCCCAGTTATATTTTTCTTTCACAACTTTTTCAAAAAAGACAGAAAAAATGAAAAATGAATAATCCAAAAAGATTTTGCACTTTCCTACCATTTTTCTAAAAAAAATCCAAATAGATTTTACATTTTCCATCATTTTTCAAAAAGACAAAAAATTATTGTTTTGCCAAATTAGTTGCATTTTTTTAAAAAGCTTTCTCCCATGTCCAATGTTCCCGAACTACGCATACCTGATTTTCGTCTTTCAGGGTGGGATATGTAGGCATCTCACATAGGGTCCGGTCTTCCTAGTAAGTCTTATGTTCTTGCTTTGCGGGGTCTTAGCCAAAATTTGCAGGTCTAGCCATTTTTGTCCATATCGGCTATTTCTACAAAATAAGGTCATTTTCGCAAAAGTGGATCAATGACCCATATCTTAGGATATTTAGTCCACAACTAGGTATCATAGTATGTTAAGGTCCATCCTTTTTTTTGAGTTTGCATCTTCAGTCACTTCTGGCCATATCAGTCATTTTTGCCAGAATGGGTCATTTCTGCAAATTAATCTAGGGCCATGATTATTGGGAGTGTGAATCCATATAAGCCTTAGTAAGGTATTTCCATATCTGAGTAGTCACATTTGTTGAGTTTGCACTTCTGGCCACTTTTGGCTACGTAGGTTAATTTTCAAAAATAGCCTAAACGTGTCTTGCATGTGTCCAATAGGAGGTATTGTGGTGTTGCATAGTGTCTTGAGTCATTGATCTATTTGGTCTTACTTTTCTCATTCAAGTGTGGATCCATGTACCAGGACTCGAGCATGGCATATTCCCGAGGACCATTGCATTTTGAACCTTGTCTGAGGAAACTTTTATGTTTTGAGTCTATTTCTGTGGTGTTTTTCTTTACTTTCTAATCATGTCTAGCAGTATTCAGTCCTTTAGTTGGTGTTAGAATTTGTCGTAGTATAGTTGAGTTTGTCGAGTCTCTCATTATCGTACTTTCCATTTGTATTTGAAAAAAATAGTTATAAATAAAAATAAAAAAAATCCAAAAAGATTTTTATTTAGTTTATTTTGTCCATTACTTTTCCAGATCTACGCTTGATCTGATTCATGAGGGACATGATACGTAGGCAACCTACATAGGGTTCGATCAAATCATTATTAAAAAAAAATGTTGTGAGAAGTGAAAATGAGAGGAAATTGCCGAATGCAAGAAAAGAGCGATAATCAGAAAGAAAAGAGAGGAAGGAAAACGAGCAAGCCATGGAGTGTTAGAAAAGAAAGAAAAGAGAAGACTGAAATGAACAAAATTGATATGATGCCAAATGACATTGTGACCCTCGAGGTCATTCTAGAATCGTTAATTGTTGCTAGGTGCATTGCATGTAATGTGATATTTCTATCTTATAAATGCCCTAACGCTAATATGTTCGCTTTGTTTTGCTCCTTTTTGTTACTTTCATTGTTATCATAACAGAGGGTGGTTTGTTTGTGGCACTTTGGTGATTCATCCATACAACACAAGGTCAGAGAGCAAGGCAGCCATGGCTAGCGAAGACGTGAACACAAGAGTTCTTGACCCCTCGAGGGAGATTGTGGAGTCGGAATCTGAATTTAAAGAGGAGGTCCAAAGGCTAAAATAACAAATGTCTGAAATGTGTCAAGCATGGGCCAATGGTCAAGGACCACCCCTTTCTTATGTTTTCCCCGAGTTTACACCCATCTCGACTACTACCACTTCGGTTTTATTATCTGATCAATTCTATCCATTTAGGTTCAGTCTTTATCCCAATTGTATGACAATAGCTGGAACTTCTGTTGCGTACTCCCAAAGTGTGCCATTGACAACCAATCAGACAACCGCTACAGTTATGCCTGTCTTCACCATCCCACAACCGACATTGGTGCAGAGGAAAACTCATGAGTCACAATTTGCTACCCAGCAAGAACAGTACCACTCTCATGAGTACCACTCTTACCTATTTGATCTTCCTACAAAGATTGAGAAGCCTGGCCGAAAGATAGTACCGGAAGAAATACCCCAAAGACTTAAAACTTAGAACAATAGTTGAAAAACATACAAGGGCTGGAAGGTCAGAAGAGTATTGCCTTCAAGGATCTATGTATGTTCCCCGATGTCCTTTTGCCACTTAGTTTCAAGACTCCCAAATTTGAAAATTATGATGGACATGGAGACCCCGTAGTCCACATAAAAAGGTATTGCAATCAACTAAGAGGTGCGGGAGGAAATAAAGAATTACTCATGGCTTATTTTGGAGAAAGTCTTACGGGTGTATCTTCCGAATGGTTTATGGGTCAAGACACATCCTACTGGTATGTCTGGGATTACATGGCCCAAGCCTTTGTCAAATAGCTCCAATATAACATTGACATCGCCCCAGACCGTAATTCCCTTTCAAATCTGAAGAAGAAACCAACTAAAAGTTTCAGGGATTATGCCATTAAATGGAGAGAACAAGCAGCTAGAGTTAAGCCACCCATGGATGACTACGAGCTAATCACTATCTTCCTTCAGGCTCAAGATCCTGATTACTTTCTAAACATGATGACCGCAGTTGGCAAATCATTCTTGGAAGTAATCAACATGGAAGAAATGGTAGAGAATGGCCTGAAGACAGGCAAAATTATAAGTCAAGCAGCTCTCAAAGAGGCAACTCAGGCTGTCCAAATTGAATATGGTAATTTTAGTGGCACGAATGAGAAGGTTGAAGAAATTATGATGACACCAGGGTCGAGAAGAGGTCCTAGAAGAACATATCGAAGGTATGACCAACCTCGTTTGTTTTTTGACGATTCCCATGAGAACCCACAATACTCTGCTGCTCCACCCCAGTATATTGTCCAACCACCAAGACACCCTAGAAGGCGAGTGTCATCACCGCAAAATCTCCAGAGGCCTCCACAAAATTTTCAAGCTAGGGGTATGTAGGTAAACAAAGGTTGAAAGATAATTTTACACCGATAGTGTTACATCTCGCGTTTTCGTACATTAAAATTTCGTTTTCAGTTAACCGACGTAGACTAGGGGATGAGATCATCTTGATGTTAATGTACTTACGTTATTTATATAAATCGATAAATAAGTGTTATGAAGGATAAAGGGGTACACTGATTAAAAAACATG